TATATATATACGAAACAGTTTGTCACAGCCCCTCGTTTGTTGTCCTCTTCTCCCTCTCTGCCTACGGTTTACCGGGCAGTTCTATTTGACGATATATATATATATATATATATGTATACAATATACATATGTATATGTGCAAGTGTGCCGCTTTGGCGGCAGACAGGTGTGTGGGCACTTGGCGATGAACGGCACAAACGGGGCCAACCTTGCATTTTTTATCATATTGCCTATCTATACTTTTTCATTATGGATGGCTTGTGATGATTTGTGAAGGGAATGAGAGAGAGAATCTGGGGTCCTTTAAAACAACACACACACACACACACACACACACACACACACACACACACACACACACACACACACACACACACACACACACACAGCGGACTTTACAACTATGTACACGAACCTGCCACACGACAGGATTCTTAACAATGTTCTGAATGTTGTTCATGAAGCACATGATTATGCTTTGGGCCGGATCTCGCAGGCCAGAAGGCCAGTACAGATGTACATGACGATAGGCGGTCCTCATTGTGGGGAGTGGGTTACTTCACATGGGCCAGACACCCTCTCGGTGTCAGAAATAGAGCAACATTTGCGGTTCATGGTCTCTAATACTTACCTTTATACAAGGGATGGCACTCTGCGCCATCAGGTGGTCGGTATCCCTATGGGCACTAACGCTGGACGAGAAATTGCCAACCTCACGCTTTATTGGGACGAAGCACAGTTCATCAATGATCTTCGTCAGCGAGATCTTGCTGCACAAGCATATGCATTCACATATCGATTCATTGATCACATTCTATCCTGCAAGACATTACCGCCGTCTCTTTCTCGGTATGGTCTTGGAAAGACACTACTGAGCAAGATGGGTCATGTCTTTTCCTTGGGGCAAAAATCTTGGTTCGGCCTGATTGCTCGCTTCGCATTGGTGTATTTGATAAGGCCGAGAACTGGACGTTCCCTGTCATACGTTATCCCAGTGTTTCCTCCAACGCTCCGGCTCATCAGCCTGCAGGTGTGCTCACGGGACAACTAACGAGATTCGAACATTAACTACCGACTTCAAAGCGGCAGTGACTTCCCTAACACCACGTATGCTTTTCAGGGGCCATCCTCCCAGTGTCCTGGCTAAAGGCTGGACTGCATATATGCGTGGCCGACAACGCCGGCTACCAACTCATGTCACACGACTTTCGAACTGGTTTCGCTGAATGGTTCGCTGAGCAATCGCTCACCCACTCCCGAAAGTTGATTCAGTGTGCAGGTCCTCCACCCAACCGCACACAAGAGACCACCACTCATCGTCTGACACCAATGTTGACCGCAGCCAGCATCAGCCCTCCGCACAATCAAATGCAGACCGC